AAAAAAAAAAAAGGAAGAGGTCGGGCATGGTGGCTCACGCCTGTAATCGTAGCACTTTGGGAGGCCAAGGCGGGAGGATTGCTTGAGGTCAGGAGTTGGAGACCAGCCTGAGCAAGAGCGAGACCCTATCTGTACTAAAAATAGAAAAGAAAAAAAAAATTAGCCAGTCAACTAAAAATAGAAACAAAAAATTAGCCGGGCGTGGTGGCATATGCCTGTAGTCCCAGATACTTGGGAGGCTGAGGCCAGAGGATCACTTGAGCCCAGGAGTTTGAGGTTGCTGTGAGCTACGCTGATGCCACAGCACTCACTCTAGCCAGGGCAACAAAGCGAGACTCTGTCTCAAAAAAAAAAAAAGAAAGAAAGAAAGAAAGAAAACTATTGATGCAGGGCTTATAACTGTGAAATCAGGCCACGGAAAGTCTTGTAGGAGAACTTAATAGCCTGTAAGGGATTGAGCCTTGATACTCCCAGGAGGCGCAGAAAACTGGAGCCCAGCCTTTTCTTTTTAGGGATCAGGGATTCAAGGCTCCAGCCCCCTTGGGGAGGTAATTGTCCCAAGTTTAACCAGCCCTTAAGTTCAAACGGAGCCTCAGGACGAGAGGAGGCAAATTAGATGGATGATGGGAAATGTAGTTTATCTCTATCGAGGTGCTTGCCTTTGTGCTGTTCTCCCCCAACCTCCTCCAGGACCCAGGAGTGGGACACTGTTCATTCTGACACACATGGAGACATTGCTCACTACAAATCAAAAGGCTTTATTTCTTATATACACCAACACTTAAAAAAATAGTTAATAATAAATAACACGCAAACCAGTTGGTCTTAGCCACAGCTCCCATTGAGGTCCAGGCTGGGAGCTGTGGCTTGCACTAGGAGGGAAGGGAAAGGGTGTGGCCACAGCATGGCTCAAGGGCGTGGCCTGGATGTGGCTGTAGAAGGGACAGAGGAGGATGGCCAGGTCTGGGTAGGGGCAGGGATGGGGTTCAGAGCAGGAAGTGGGTTCCTGAGGCGTGCCCAGGCTCTTGCCCGGGCAGCAGGGGTGAGGCAGGGGCCCAGCTCCTCCTGGGCCTGGGCGATGCGGCGCGCGAATCGACTTCGATCCCGGGCAAGCTGCTCCCAGGGGCCCCGGCGGGCGGCCTGGGCTGGCCCTGCCCAGACATACAGGAAATGAACGGTGACCTTCTCAGAGAAGCGTACCTGGGGACAGACAGGCACAGACACATGGAGACACAGGGATGCAGACACAAGATGCACACCACCACAGGGATCCCGACGGGGAGGAGGCAGGGAGAGAAACAAGCAAAAATGCTTGCTATCTGGTTATCACCTGCCTGTCACAGTCATAGGATTTTCCGTGTGACTCACTGAAAGTACAGGTGGTTCCCTGGGGCTGCCTGAGTCACAGCTGCTCCCTCCTCCCGCAGGGCCTGGCCTCTTACAAAGGATTGCATGACGGTGGACGCCGCCCTCCCAACAGAGCTCACGTGCAACCCTCTGCAGCACATGGGACCCAGGAGTCCCAGCTCCCGGCCCCTCCTCCCTAAGACTCAAGAGTCTGGGCCCTCAGCACCTACCTTTCTGGCCTTTAGGGGAGTCTCAGGGTCCGGATCCTGGGTGGGGGTTTCTGAGAACTTGAGCTGCCTTCGCAACCGGAGGGGCAGCTTAGCAGGAGACCAGGGAGGTGGTGGCTTCTCTCCAGGTACATAGATGGCCACTCGGAAGGGGCAGGGCTCAGCTTCTCCCCATTCCTCAGCAGCTTCCTCTTCCTCTGTCTCCTCTCCAGGTCGATATATCCAGGCCCTGAGGGACCGAAGGGAGGGATGTGGGTCTGAGTCAGCTGCTTCATCATCTCCTTTGTCCTCCTCCTCCTCATCCTCCTGCTCCTCCTCTGTGTCCTCCCCAGGCCGATACACCCAGGCCTTCAAGAAGGGGCTTGTGGGAGGAATAGCAGGGGAAGCCTCAGCTTCTCCCTCTTCCTCAGCTGATCCTGAATCACTGTCTTCTTCTTCCTCATCTTCCTCTTCCTCTGTGTCCTCCCCAGGCCGATACACCCAGGCCTTCAAGAAGGGGCTTGTGGGGGGGATAGCAGGGGAAGCCTTAGCTTCTACCTCTTCCTCAGCTGATCCTGAATCACTATCTTCTTCTTCCTCATCTTCCTCTTCCTCTGTGTCCTCCCCAGGCCGATACACCCAGGACTCCAAGAAAGCACTTGGAGGGGAGACGGGAGAAGGACCCTCAACTGCTCTGTCTCTCTCAGCTGCCCCCAGAGCACCATCCTTATCCTCTTCATCGTCCTCCTCTGTGCACTTGCTGGGCCGATTTTCCCAGGACCCAAGCAGGGGCCTCTGGGCTGGGACTGAGGAGTGTGGCTCTGGCTCAGCGTCTCCTTGCTCAGTTGCTTCCCTGAGTGCCACTTCATCCTTGTCCCCAGACTTCTTTCCTGAACAGAACTCCCAGGCCTCAGGGTTGGAGCCTGCGGGTGAGGGGGAAACGGAGGTCTTCTTGGCTTCCTTACTTTCTCTTCTTTCTTCCTCCGTGGCTTGATCCTCTTCCTCCCTGGAGCAGTACACCCAGGTGCTGGGCTTGGGTGCTGGAGACAGGCGGGAAGTTCTGGGGGCTCCATTGTTTACAGCTTCCCCATCGCCCTGCCCGTCCACGGCCACACAGCGCGCCTGGTGCGACAGAGGATAAGAGAACGCGGTCACTCCCTCGTCTTCAGCAGCTCCTTCTTCTTCCAATTTCTTCTCCCCAGGGTTCTTATCAGAACCTTGCAGGGTTCTTATCAGAAGGCTGGGGGACAGGGGAGCAGGCTTGCCATCTGTAAATGCACGTCCCTGCTCTTTAGGGACACTGGTTTCTTCTTCCTCATAATACTCATCACCATCTGAAAGTCCCCAGGCTTCAAGAAGGGAACTGCTGGTTTTCAGGCTGGCTGCTTCTCCGTCCTTTTGGGGGGCTCCACCGTCTTCGGCCTCCCCTTGAGCGTGTCTGCCCCAGGGGACACGGTAGCCTGCCAGAGGAGCCTTGGCTTCTCCCTGCGGGCTGGCTTCTACCTGATCCGCTTCTGTTACTGCTGCCACCATCCATGGCTTTGCAGGTCCTGGGCCCCTCACCAGGCTCCAGGCCCGGCTAAAGAAGCCCAACAGTGGGTACAGGAGGGAGACGGGGTGCGCATCTCTCCAGGGGATGGCCTGATGGGGTGCTTGGCCTGGGGCCATCTGTTTGAGCTAGAAAAAGGGGAGGAAAAAAAGGAAGTAAAGTTTAGGAACCATTTAGGGTATGGCATGTGGGCATGACCATGAGTCATAGCGACGGGTATAGTAACAAACAGTAACACAAATACCGGAAATAGCAACAAGGGAATCCCTGCCCCAGATTCCTTTCTGATCCCAGCCACTCCCATCTCTGTCCCTTGGCTCCTTTCTTTCTCTGTCCTCTCTCGGTACCCAGAGTCTGGGTCTCCCGGTCTCTCCTTCCTTGGATCCAGGAATCCAAGCCTCCTGCCCCCTCTTTCCTCAGGTCCAGAAGCCCCAGCCCCCAAAACGAAGAACAAAGGTCTTTTACTTGCTTCCCTTGGGGATAAAGTCCCAAATTCTCTCATCCTCCTGAGGATTGACAGAGGAGGCCCCCATCACCTTCCTCCCTTGGGGACTCAAACATTCTGATCCCCGCCCCCCATGATTCCTTCACTGGGGACCCATGCAGACCCCTCCTCCCTCAGGCCTCCCCAATCCCTCTTCCTAAGTCCGGGCCCCCAGCCCCCTCCTCCAGACCCCGAAACCGGGCCCCATCCGGCCCCTCCCCACACTCAGGTGTCCGGGCTCCCCCGCCCCCGTTCCTCAGGACCCAGGAGTCCCGGCCTCCTTCTCATTACTGACCAGGAGCCTGGTCCCAGCCCCCAACTCCCTGGGAACCCAGGCGTCCCGGCCCCTTACTCACCGGCTGGGGACTGCGCGTCACCCCGGGGGCAGGAGCGCCGGCTCGGGCTTCCAGAAGCGATCACAGGTCCAGACGGCTCGGGAGGCCAGCGCGCTCATCTCGCCCTCAGGCGTCGGGCTCCGGGCAACTCAAAGTATCACCGGCTGCCTCCAGCTGGATCGCGACAAAAGGGCGCGGGGTCGTGCAGAGTCTCGCATGTAATCAGCTGACCTGGGACCGGATGCGACTGGCGCAGACGTCGCCCGCAAGCCTTTTATAGTCCGCCGCGTCCCGTTGCGTAGGAGAGGCGTGGTTTCCAAACGACAGCACGAGGGTGGGAAGGGAAAGTCAGACGGGACTTCTCGCGGAGATTCCGGGCTTTGCGACGTCACGGCAGCGTTTCAGAGCAGGGTCACGTCCCAAGCGAGCGAGCTGTCACTCAATTGCGTGGCCCTACCAAGCCGCGAGCCAACTCTCTCACTCTGCTGGGGCAAATGCCTTCACGCCCCTATTTAGCCAGCAGACCCCCCCAGCCTGGGGTCTCCCACCTTCACATCCGGGCGTTTTCCTCCCCAGGTGGGAGGGTATCGTTGCTCCCATTTCACAGATGAGGAAACAGGCTTGCAAATGACACTTGCACGAGATGGTTCCCAGCAGAGTCCTGATTCCCTGCCAATGAGAACAAGAATGTTAGCACCACGAAGGCAAGCACTTTGCTTGACCACGGCTTTCTTCTCAGTGGCCACAAAAGTGCCTGGCACGTAGTAGGTGCTCAACAAATATATAGTGGGCGGGGCGTGGTGGCTCACGCCTGTAATCCTAGCACTCTGGGAGGCCGAGGCGGGTGGATTGCTTGAGCTCAGGAGTTCGAGACCAGCATGACCCAGAGCGATACCCCGTCTCTACTAAAAATAGAAACTAGCTGGACAACCAAAAATATATAGAAAAAATTAGCCGGGCATGGTGGCGCATGCCTGTAGTCCCAGCTACTCTAGAGTCTGAGGCAGGAGGATCACTGGAGCCCAGGAGTTTGAGGTTACTGTGAGCTAGGCTGATGCCACGGCACTCTAGCCCAGGCAACAGAGCAAGACTCTGTCTCAAAAAAGAAACAAACAAACAAAAAAACCCCAAATATATAGTGAATGGCTGCTGAGCCGAAAGTTCAGATTCCTTCTCTGTCACACTCCTGCTCCAGACTTATGCAAAAGCTCAGCTTATGCAAACTGAATGCTGACCGGGTGGCACTCCTGGGGCGGGGCGGGACGGGGTTCTGCTATGAGTTCCAGGCCCAGGGACACTGTTCCAGCGCCTCAGCTCTCTTCCCCTACCTGGTACATAATTTTGTTCCTCAAAATATATTCAGGAACCACATCTCCCTCCTGAGGGGGTTGTCCTCAGTCCAGAACAGAATTCTCATCTGGATCTGAGGTGGAGATTTGAAACCTGCCACTTGGGCTGGGCGTGGTGGCTCATGCCTGTAATCCTAGCACTCAGGGAGGCTGAGGCAGGAGGATCGCTTGAGGTCAGGAGTTTGAGACCAGCCTCAGCAAGAGCAAGACCCTGTCCCTACTAAAAATAGAAAGAAATTAGCTGGGCAACTAAAATAGAAAAAAAAAATTAGCCGGTGTGGTGGCACATGTCCCAGCTACTCAGGAGGCTGAGGCAGGAGGATCGCTTATGCCCAGGAGTTGGAGGTTGCTGTGAGCTAGGCTGATGCCACGGCACTCCAGCCTGGGCAACAGAGAGAGACTCTGTCTCAAAAAAAAAAAAAAAAAAAAAAAAGAAACTTGCCACTTGACCCTGCCTGCTCCAGAATCCAGGAATCCAGAACCACCCACTTCTCTCTGGAAGACCTGGACAAACCATGCCCGGCCCCATCCAATCAATGCCACACTTCCAGACCCTGGCTCATTCACAAGTCAGGAGTTCTGACTCCTAGCTGACACCTTCTTAGGCACCCAGAGCTTTGGGAGTCTGAGCCTTCACCCTTTACAAGACCCAAGCCCCCTCACTTTAGGGGACCAGGCCTCTGACCACGACAAACTCATAGTGGGGGCTGGAGTCCAGGCCTCAGCTCCTGCTCTCCAAATACAGGGAAATCCTAGCCTCAACCCTTAGGGGACCCAGGAGTCAGGGGCCCCCAGCCCCTCCCCTCAGCTGTGGGGGCAGCTGAGCCAGGGGTCAGGCTGTGGTGGGGAGGCCAGAAGGGGCGGGGACAGCCAGGATTGGGAGGGGAGACAGTGGCGTGGGCGTGGGCGGCTGGCAGAGGGAGGGAAAGCCCAGCAGAGAGGAAAGAGAAACCGGGAGAGGAAGGAAGAGAGAAAGTGAGAAAGAAAGTCCACAAGAGAGAGAGGAGGAAACAGCATACGTGGAGAGCCCGAGAGAGAGAGAGAGAGAGAGAGAGAGAGAGAGAGAGGAAGAGATTGAGTGTGAAGCGGGGGAGAGAGAGAGAGAGAGAGACGGAGGGAGCATAAGAGACAGGAGACAAAGAGACCAACGGAGAGTGCCAGTGAGCAGGTGAGAAGAGACTGAGAAGTATGAGAGACAGCACCTAAGGGACGAAGGAGGTGGGATACTGTCCTCTTGCTCCCGTCATTGGGATCCCAGAGCTGGGTAAGTTCCCTGGCTGTGCTGGGAGGGGCTGCCTGGGTGCACATTCCTGGTGTCGCAGGGCTTGGCTCGGGGAGTTGGCAGGGATGGTTTGGGGTACGTGTGGGAGGGCAGGAGACAGGCAGCCGGAAGGAGGCAGGGAATGGAGGGTTCCTGAGCACAGAGAGGGTCAAATTCCTGGCCAGAGTACAGTGGCCAGAAATAAAGGAGCCCCTATTCTCTGGCCTGGGCTGCAGACAGCTGCCCCCTCCCGCAGCTGCCAGGGCCGCCCACCTCTCTTGGCACCACTCTTGGTATGCGGTCCCGGGCCACGGCCTCCCCAGCCCCCCAGTCCCCAAACAACAGGCTCCTTTCTCTTCAGACTCCTCTGACCACCGAGCCCCTGACCCCATCTCTGTCCCGAGTCACAGAGACAGAGCCCCTTTCTTTCTCTCCCCAAGCCCTTGATGGAGGAAGGCAGACCTCGGAGCAGCCTCAGCCTGGCCAGCAGCGCCTCCACCATCTCCTCGCTCAGCAGCCTGAGCGCCAAGGTTCGGGCTTCCCGGTGGGGATGGGGAGGAAGGTGGGGCTCTGGGCCACCCATCCCCGGTTTCCTAGCCCTGAGTTCTGGGCCACTCCAGGGGCTCTGATTGTTAAGAACAAGGATCCTGTTTGGGTGCAGTGGTTCATGCCCATAATCTTAGCACTTTGGGAAGCTGAGGCAGGAGGATCACTCGAGTCCAGAAGTTCAAGACCAACATGGGCAATATCAAGACCCCATCTCTACATAAAATAGAAAGATTAGGCGGGTGCGGTGGCACGTGTCTGTAGTTCCAGCAACTTGGGAGGCTGAGGCAGGAGAATGGCTTTATCACAGGAATTTGAGGTGGCATTGAGCTGTGACGATGCCACTGCACTCGAGCCTGGAAAACCGAGTGAGACCCTGTCTCAAAAACAAACAAACAAACAAACAAACAAACAAACCCACAAGAACAAGGATCCTGAGTAACAGGTCTGCCAGACCCAGTAAGGTCCCAAATTGCCCACCAGTCGCAGCTAGGATTTAAGAGGCATTCCCAGCTCTGTCCCTACCCCTCGTATTTTCCTAATTCGAAGCCAGAATAACAACCTCCCTTGACCCTGGTTGCTAAGATAAGGCCACTCCCCAGCCATGAGGCCCCTTGAGTTCTTAGAAGCAGTGGCTGCTCTAGATCAGGGCTGGGACTCCGTGCCCCATCTCTAGCCATCTAGTCTACCCACTAATGGGATCCGGCAAGGCAAGGAGAGACCCTTCTCTGACAATAAGGCCCCATGGAGCCCTGAGATACATGTGTCCCAAATTAGCACCCCAGCCAAGAGTTTAAGGATGACACTCATTTCCTTGTTCTGCCCTTCCCCTCACACATTTTGTTTCCCAAGTTCAGAGCCCAGAGATTCGATCCCAGCCTTGGTCAGCATCAGCTCCGGGCAAGGGTGTCCTGTAGCAATGTGGCCATGGACACCTGGGGTATCTGTGTGTATCAGGAGAGGCAGCTCCATCTGGGCGGGGCAGGGGGGGAACCTCAAGGCCCCTCTCCTTGCACTTGGTTGCTAAGGGATGTCACTGCACGGCACTGAGGCATCCTTTGATTCACCAGGGACCCAGCACGGAAGTTTCTCCTGAGTATGGGGACCTCCCAGCTGAAATTCCCAGTTCAGGTCCCAGAGGCTCTACTCACCTCTACCTCTGGTAGCCAAAGGCATCCTCTTCTTGGCAGTGGACCCTTGATTCCCAAATTCCTTCCCAGCAGCCTCTTCCTTGCCTCTGAACACCTCCCTCTGCCCATCAAAAAAGAGTCTCTCAACTCTGCGTCATGAACACCCCCAATTCTGATCTCTAAACTCAGCCTCCCTCCTTGGCCTGGTTTGTTTGTTTGTTTCTTTTTTATTGAGACACAGTTTCCCTCC